TCAAAGTGTCCCTCAGTGAAGGGGTGCATATCCTCACAGTCTAATTTACTCATGTTAGTCCATCTGGACTCTCCTGGGAAATACCAGTGCAAGCCCTGGGCTCCTCGACTGCAGTTCGCTAGCTCATCTGAACCACAGTGGCTTCTCCTTTCTTATATGCAGACGCATAGTCAGGGGGTCTAGCTTTGAATTCAACTCTAACCCTCTGTGACTTATAACAAATTTCTTTGTGTGTGTTTCCTACCTGTAAAGAAGAATTATGATGAAACTATCTCATGTGCCCATCTCTGATAAATGCAGTCTTCTTCATCTAAGTCCTCATCCTCTCCAGCCCCTGATAACTTGTTCTGATGAAGATCCTTAGTAAAAGTTAGTTTTGAGGCTACCTCTCAGTATTACAGTGCTGGTCAGTAGTATTCTGAAGACTGTGAACTGTACTCAACATGTTTTTTCTTGTAATTTGTATTCCTCTAGCTCAAGAAGTCTTGAACAATTTGGATTTTTATTAGGATTACTCCCATTCAAAACTGAGAATGAAGAATGGAGCTGCTGTCTTGGATGGAAAAAACAGCAGTCCAGCAGCCTGAGACACCATTCAGGGCCACGAGCCTCTGTCTTGCCTGGAGACCAAACTCTTTCCACTTGGAACCAGAGTCGCTGCTAGATCCCTGAGGTCAGGTTGAAATGGAAGTTCCTTCTAGGCTCTCATCTCAATATTGTCTCTTCCCCATCTCTTACCATACTCTGCACCCATGCTTCCTCCACCACTGCCTTCTGGTGAACTCCATTTATGCCTTCTAGAACTCCCGTAGGTCCCCACTCTCCCTTAATGGAACACTGCTTTCTTAGGAATGCCTCCCTGAAATTCTTGTGGCCTCAAAGTGAATCTTTTCTCTTGATCTCAACAGGGGAGCACGTGTAGTCCTCCCGGGAGGACTAGAATCTGGGCTCTTCCCCACTACAGTACCTAATATATGGACAGCATAACACCTGGCCTGCAGGATTTTTCAGAGGAACAGTGTATTTTTTTTTTTTTCTGTCCTAGGAGGTTGTTTCCTATTTTTTTTTTTATTTTTTTTTATTAAAAAGTTTATTTTAACATCATTTTTCACATTTTTTTTTTCATCTCAATTGTAATCCCCATGGGTTTCCCATCACCAAATCACCCCTGTGCCACCACCATAGTCCCGTGCATTTCCCTCCCTTC